CAGCGACACGTGAGCCGAGGTGCTTTTTGTGCCTTCTTTCTCCACCGTCCCTGCAGGGACATGGTCAGGCGTTTCCTGGGCTTCCACAGCAGCTCAGCTGCTCTTTGCAAGACTTTCACAATAAGCAGGATTTTGTTTGCTTGGTAAAAGCAGGAAAATAAAATGCCTCCATAAATGCTGTCAGTGGAGAACTGTGCTTCTGCCCTCGCACAGGCACTCAGCTCCCAAGGACACACATGGCTTTCCTCTTAGGAGAATAGTACATAAACTGGAAATTAGTGAATAGTAATAATAACAACAAAGCTTTTCCAGCGGATCCCTTGGCAGATGCCTGGGGTGGCTGCTGACCATGGCTTGCCAGCCACTTGCAGGCCACCGGTGTGGATTCTCTGATGTCTAAGAAGGGCTGAGCTCACAAAGCCATCGTCCCTCAGCAGAGGACTCACCAAAACGAGCAGTTATTTTAGTCTGAACTTTGAAAAACAGAATGCCAAAACAAGTTTGAATAGCCAGTTAAATCAAATGCTGGATGCTGCCACCTTGTAGCAGGAATTCTGCCTTCGAGTTATCTAAACTTCCTGAATTTTCCACTGCGCGCCTTGGCGCTGCTCCGTTATTCGCAGGCTCCCTCCAGCCTGGCCAGAGCATGGGCTTTTGCTGCCTTATAGACCGCAGTGCCTGCACGACAGACCGTATAGACTGGCGTGTGCCTCCCTGCCGGGACTGGGGCCACGGGGTCCCCGGCGCGCTGGGAATGGGCGGCTGGAGCAGCCGGGGCCAGGAGCAGGAGGAGGCAGGTGCCGGCACGAATCCCCCTCCTTGTGTTTCCACGTGTTTCCTGCTTTTGCTGGGGAGACTGGGGATGTTTTTCCTTTCTGCATGCAGAAATGAAATCTCGTGGTACGTGTACAAGGGGTAAAGCCTGAAGCACACGCGGATCGCAGGACATCTGGAGCTCATCGGGCTCCTTCGGGACAGGAGCCTACGGCTTCAGCCTGCAGAGACGCAAGGAAGGAACAAGAGCAATTTTTCACACAAATGCCCAGATGCTCAGAGGAGCTGGGTCTCTGCAGACACCCCTGTGTCCAGCTCCTTGGCAAGTAGGGCCCCTTGCGCCCTGTCCGGGCTGACTGCACGTTCCTGCTGCTGTGCACAGAGTCAGCAGCTTGGAAGGACTTGGAAGGATATGGCCCAGGGGTAAAGATGAATTTCCGGAGAAAACTGTGAATAACCGAGTAGCTCGGAGCGGAAATCTCCCTTGTTCAGAGCTACACGGAGTATCCGTAACACCCGCCCGCTTCTCCCTCTGTTCCTGTGTGCTCGGAGCACACGGGCCGGCCTGGAGGCAGCAGGGTAAGCAGAGACACGGATGCTCCAGCCCCTTTTCACCCAGATGCTCCCCTTCCCTGCAAGTCTCCAAGTGCACCGCTTGGATTTGCAAAAAGAAAGTAGTAGTGAAAGATGGGGAGCTGCTCTGTTGGGACTGGAGCTGGACGAGTGCAGGAAGCTGGAGAAATCACCCCGGAGCCACCGCCGAGGAGAACTATTTTTGGATGAGTCACAAGGACGCGGGGCTGCCCCGCTTTGAGGAGAGGCCAACCATAAAGCGGAGGCCACTCGTCCCCACGACGCCACAGAGCCCGTGAGAGCAGCCAAGTGCCTTGGCCCCACTCATGGCAGCCGTCCTGCTCGGGAGCAAGGGGAGCCCCGAGGGTCTGACCCAAGGGGGTGGTTTGGCCAGGGACCTTCCCAACCCCCTGCGCGTTACTTGCAATTCCCATGAGGATTTGTAAGCACGTGGGACTGACGCCACGTGATGTGAACGTGAATCCCAGCAGGCAGCAGCTGGGCTGAGCGGAGCCCCAGCGAGGCCGAGCTGCCGCCCTCGGCCCCGCAGAGCCAGAATGTCCCCAAAAGCCCCCACTGTCCTGCCCGGCCCCAGCGGCCGCAGCCTCTCCGAGGGAGGAGGGCAAAGCCCAGCAGAGCCCCCAGCTCCCGCGTGGATGCGCCCAGCTTCCATCACCCCCTTGGACAGACCCGGGCTGGAGAGCTTTAGCTAGTGAAGTGGGTGGCCAAAGCTGCCCTTGGCCTAGACCGTGCACGCTGACACCTGCAAATCTGATTAGGACAAGGCTCTTATTGCGCCCTCTCCAGCGCCCCACAGCTCATCCCACCTTAATCTCAAGGCTGCAGAAAGGAGCTAAGCAGAAGGCAAGGAAAGAAAAGGCTGTTGAACAGTGAACACAACCCAGAACACTTTAATTTTCTGCAATTCTCATTGTTTGCTTCTGTGCAAAGGGTGTCAAGATTTTCTCTACAGACAACAGAGCAAATAGATGAATTTACATAACTTCTTTTTGGAGGGGAAAAACATCCAGGTGAGGGAAAAATACCCAGCCATCATTAACAGCCTTGGCATATTTATAGAGATCAAATTAAAACAAAACAAAAAACCTATATATTAGCAAAGATAAAGTGCTGCTTTTCCAGTAGATCTTCCAAAATAGGGGGAAAAATAATTTAGTTGCCTTGTTATTTCCAGTGCCATTTGTTTAAGCAAAAGAAAAAAAAGGAAACAAAATGAAAGAAGAAACAAAGACCGGGTGCTAAGGCAAGAGGCTGTGCTGACGAGGAGCGCGCACAAACCGCCATCAGCGCTGGGTGACGCAGCAAAGCGGCACAGCGACGTGCGCACGGAGCGCTGACGGGGCTGCTCTTTACTGCTTATCCTTAGTGGGTCAACGGTGTTTTAATTAGTGACATCAAATTAGCATTCCTTGTAGTGGCGGATGTGGTAACGAACGGGGGCAGGTGGGCTTCCGTGGTGCGGGCGCCGCCGCCGCGGGTCTGGCCCCAGGCCTACGTAATGACCGTGGGGCCCGTGCGGCCGGTTCTTTCATGGAGTTGTGAGAGTTTCAACGCGATAGAAATGAGAGGCGCCAACATGACCTGTGGAAAGGGAAGAGATGCCTCAGTACCCGAGGCAGGGCGGCCCACGGCACCCGCGCACGGCGCCTCTGCCCGGGACCCTCGAGCGTCACTCCGAGCACCGTCTCCAAATAACGCAGCACTAAGCACTAAAGCTCTTCAGAAAGGCCGGGCAGGAACAGTGCCACAACCCCGGCGCCAGCGTTACCTGGGGGTCCTGGTGTATCTTCTGCGCGTCCTTCTCGTAGCTGTCTATGTAGAGGCGCACGGTGGCTCCAGCGCTGCCGGTGCCGCTGAGTCTGAAGATGATGCGGGAGCCGTCGGAGAAGATGAGCCGCAAGCCCTGGAGGAGAGAAGGCGGTGGGAGAGGAGCCTCTCAGCTACATGGCCCCGCAGCACCCCGGGTATTTCCACGGTGGTGCAACGAGACACTGGGAGCCACCTCCAACAGGCCTCTCCAGCAGCTGGAGAGCTGTGACATAGTTGTGTTTTAAGGGCTACAGGTATCTCAAAGGCAGCTCTTCCCACCTGGTTTTTGGAGACGCTCCCATCGACGGGATCGTGGTACTCGAAATTATCAGCTTTCTCAACCGTGTAGACTTTGTCGCCGCTTGATAGCTGCTTCCCCACGAAGGAGCGGTCAAACATCATGGTCTCCAACTCCTTCATCATTTTACCAGCTGCATCCGCATCCACCTCTTCATAGTCGTATCTATAACCAGGCACCACAAAATCAGCATGAGGAAGGGCAGGCTGCACATTAGTAGCATGGTTTGGTCATGCCCATGTTGGAACATTGTAGTCAGCCCCATCTATGTTTTTTGGCACCCTACTGAAGGGGAGGACGGGAGGAAAGGAGAGGAGGATCTGTGTGGCAGTGACCCAGCGCTGATGCGTGCGATACACTGAGGCATCAGAGGTATTTAGCAGGAGCAGAGATGAAAGTTAAAATTGTGCTGTCTTGCACTAGCTATATCGCAACAATGCTGACTGCAAAGAGCTTATTTAATTTGCCCGATAGGCATCTCGGCAGGTCCTCACGATAGCAGCTCTGCCTCAGCTTCCTCGCGGACGTCCCCACGGCAAACACAGGGGCGACTGCAGCATGCGCTAACACGCTGGTGCCAGCTCCCATCTGATGAACGCAGCGAAAGGCAGCGAGGACTGGCAGCTCAGCAGGCGCCGACGCTCCCGTCGGAGCCCAGGCTCTGGGCTCCGATCGCTGCTGCGATTTGCCCTGCTTTTATGTGCCCGGCTGGCTCGTGGAGCAGGCGCCGGCTGCGAACCTGCCTGCGCTTGCCGGTGGCTGCACACACGTCCCCTCGGTGCTAGGAGACAGGGCCTGCTCATTCTGCACACTGGCGTTTTTTTCCATGGGTATGAAACCTTACTTGTGTGCTTGCTTTCTGCATGGGGGAAGAAAAAAGGGAAAGGCAAGTTCTTTCACTTGGCGATTTCAGCCCGAAGTTTCATATTGGTCTTCCAAGTTGAAAGACTTTTGCCAACGCTTTTGCTCAACCTAGTGTTCCTACTCCTGCTCTACACATGATAGTTCCCTCCCTTCCCTTCTCGCCTTCCACGTCTGCTGCCCTTCTTAAGAGTATCCAGGACCTGCACAGAAACTCAACCAGCAACACCATGGCTTGGGTACAGCCATCCATTCAGCAAGGCCTTCGCTGAAGATACTACACATTAACTCGTAATTTGTGGTCTCAGGAAACATACTGTTTAATGGCAAGAGAACTTGGCCTATATTAAAAGGGGAAAAAAATATAGAGAGAATATTTCGTACATGTAAAATGTTAGGGGTAAAACCTTTAGAGAGTCGGACATGTAAGGTGTTCAGAACATCAAATACCAAGAGGCTAAGGAAAACGCTGCTGGTTTTGCCTGACCCCCATGCAGTGCACACTGGGCAGTATTTTCTGCTGTGATACCATGAAAGCAGCACGCGCGGAAGGGGGGCGGCGCGGCGCGCTCCTCACCTGGTGAAGAAGTTCCTGCCGTACTTCTGCCAGTGATCCTTCATGATGTCCTCCACGCTCTGCTTGCGGGCGGCCAGGATGGAGAGCCAGGCGAGCACGGCCCACAGCCCGTCCTTCTCGCGGATGTGGTCGGAGCCTGCGGACGCCAAAGCAGCAACGCGGTTTGCGCCTCCTTCCGCACCCGTGTTACGGCTCTGCCCGGTCTCCTCTCCTCCGTCAGGCCGGCAGCCGCACAAACTCGCAGCATTAAAGAGGTTCAAGATCTCATTTGCTTTTAGCTATAGCCCAAATGAAACAGTCGACCCCTTCCAGCACACAGGTACGCTCATTAGGCTCAGCTCTTAATTTTGTTCCCAAAGTGCTAATGGGGAATGCATGGTAAGAGGGCCGTTAAGAATCACAGAATCACAGAATACTTAAGGATGGAAGGGACCTCTAGAGATCATCTAGTCCAACCCCCCTGCACACGCAGGGTCACCTAGAGCACGTGGCACAGGACTGCGTCCAAGCGGGTTTGAAGATCTCCAGAGAAGGAGACT